TGATTCTAAAGAAAACTTAAATATTCTAGAAATATATTCATTTTTTATTTATTCATTAAAAATAATTACAACATTATAACAGCAAAAGCCAAATCAATGTTATAAATCTAGTGTGCTAACATACAAACTTATAATAAAAGTATTTATATGAATTAATTTCACCTCAAAGATTTAAATCATACTCTAAACTAAATGTTTGCAAAGATATTTGGATATTTCTTACTCAATCACGCATACAAGTAAATGATAAAGTGGTTTTGCAAATTGCTACACAAATAGACCACATACCAAATTTATAAAATACGTGGGATTCTTTTATCATAATCTACTCGAGAAAATCCGTGGGTTACAACTAGTACTACGTAGTGACTGCTTTAGAACTATGGTATAGGTATATACCTATTGTACGATTATAGTGTACATTCTTCTAGTCTTCTAGTGGGTACTTGATTTTGCTTTCTGCGAGAATTTTAAATTTTTTAATTTTAAATTATTATTTTATCTTTGGACCCACTGACATTTTACGTTACATCTGAGATCAATTTTAATGTTTTTTTTTGTCAGTAATCTAAAATATTAAGACTTATAAAAAGTTTTATTACACGACAAAATAAAACTTCTTAACCAATGATTAGGATAAATAAATGTAGGCCTCCGCAAACACCAAGGTGTGTACGGATAGCGGTTCTCAAATTCCAAGCTTGTTAAAAGATTGAAGACGTAATAACCAGTTATCAGTGGTCAGCAAACACCACATCATATAAGCAGAAACCGACATCATTAGGAATACAATTTATCCCTAATTCCATAGCTCCTCATAGTCCCACGCACACTAAGCGGATTGTCAGCTTATCGCCTTACAGCCATACTCACCTATTTTTTACAATAATGGCAAAAAATAGTTAATAAGAGTATAGAATGCTACTTTCGGAGAAAAAACGACAACAAAGCCGTGATCCCTGAGGCTTTCCTGGGCGGTTTTTCGAATTCCGTGACTCAAATAATTAAGTCCAAAGATGGGGGTCGCCGGGTGAAATTATACATTGTTATTGCCACTATAAATCTCATTTTCGGTGAACGCGCCCGCACTGAATAACAAATATTTCACTGCGACCAAAACTATAGGTATATATTAAAAAAAAATTATAATACAATCAAATACGTATCGTCCTATGATACATGATGGGACACATGTATGTTAATACATATATTAATTTTATATCACGACTAAGAACTATCGCTGGCTTCTGCCTGTAACTACATTATCCTGTTATTAAATGGCTAATAATATACCACATGACAACTGTTTAGAAAGCAAAATGTTAATTTAGTAACTAATTTAGAAATTTTCAACCTAGTTTAGAAAATAGGGCTGTATATTTAAATACCTATGTGTATTTCGTGATACCTTCTCTGGTTCTGAATAGATTTTCATGATTATTTTTGTGTTGAATTTATATTACTTTTTCACGATTGAAGCTATTGTATTACAGAGACATTTCCTACGATTATTCTTATTCTGGTAACCACCCACGTACTTTAGTTGGAAAGGGTGTAGTAACCCATATGAAATAAAAAATAAAATAATGTAGTGTGGAACTATCATCCCCAAGGAAGTTATTCGAGATACGAAAATATGTTTTTTTTTTCCTTTGAGTACTAAGTAGGTCATGTGACGTGACATATAATCGTTTGTATGAGAGGTTCAAGAGTTAAATTCGTATTCCGACTACTTTCCTTGTGGGAAGAGGTTTAGTTTTATGAAGACATATGGCTTCTGTTTGATTTAACCTTAAAGACGAAAGATATATACTTCAGGAAAAAACTCATTTCTACAAAATGCTGTCTATACGTACGCATCGTAAGTCCTAGGCTATTTATTATGTACTGTAAGCATTGCGTTACCCGCGGCTGAAAGGCGAAACGAATGACACCCTATTTATCAAGATCGGTCCAGCCGTTTATTTATTACGAGGGTACATAGACATATTTATATATTAAACCTGTTCACACTTAGTTGCAATGCGTATATTATTGTATTTTATAAAAAGGTACTAAAAAGTAAGAAAATGTTTCTTTGTAGTCTCCAATCACACATAAAATTCTACAGTAAAAGATTAGTAATATATAGATATAGTAAAAGATTACAGTGGTATAATGTTACATGCAAATAATTATACATATGCATACCTTAACAAATTAATAAAGCATAGTGCAGCGTATGGCATCTCTCTACCGGATAAAACCACTGCTTTGCTCGGTAGAGTCATATTACAAGCTAAGTCATTTTTTACGCAATTTAGAATGGCTAATAGGCTGATGTGTGTATTAATTAAACGAATTGTACGAGTATTAATTAGTAATAACTAAAGTATTTATACAGAATATCTCTAAACATTATAAATGGTGTTGTGTGTTTGTGTCCCTAATCGACAGTTGGCTTATAAAAGAAAAATGCGAAAACCATTCAGCAATCACATAAAAACTCGCTCGATATGAATATCTTACTCAAAATATAATTAACTAAGTTAAAAGTGCATGGTTCTTTTAACATGTGTCCAACACGATCTCTGACGTTTTTTATTCAGTTCGATAAAATCATACCATTAACTTTCTTTACACATACGGGAAGTCGACTCCATACGTACAAAAGGGTATAGAAACATAATACCCCTGGATCAATAACATCTAAATAGAGTGTTACACTGCAAATGCTTTATAAAAAATGGTCTGACTAGGTATTATTAAAAATGTCACACTTTTAAAAGTATTATACATTTTGTAATGAATTATTTATCAAACAAATCGTCATCTTTGATATTTATCTATATGTAAATAAATATTTTTTTTTCCAATATAATTATACTAAGAATTACACTTTCAAATTTTCATACGCCGTGATAAGATTGAACATATTACTATTTTTGGGACAATCTTTTATATTTGACGCACCATCTAGATGTTTATGATCTATGCTATCTATTCTAACCATCGTGAACACGTAGATCTACGTACATAATCTACATTCAGTACATAATCTAGATATAGGCGAAAGTCTACAGATTCGCTTCGTCACGGTTCTCGGCACATACTGGATGGCAATCTCCTCTAGTCATATATCTACGTCAGTACAGTCGTGATGAAACAAGGCAACTTACCAATCGCGAAAGTTTACGACTTAATCTAGTGTTCTTTAACTTGTATTAATTAAGTTGACTTGTAAATATCTAATTATTAAATCTAACGGCGAATACACTTAAGTTGATCAATATTAATTATACGAGTAAAGTCACGGGTCTTCATTTAGTGCCACATACGATATATATTGTTTCTATTTACATATTTTGCCATCCCCAAACAAAAATAATTGAACGATATAGTCTTCATTAATCGACGCACTCACAATACATTTTCATCTCCACTAACAGCGGAAAGTTCACTCAAATACGTCTACGATCAGCTGCGGAAACGTTTGACTTCGTACATTAAACTTAGAGCGTTTACAATTTTTATTTTATACATATAATATGTCCGAAATATCTATTTGAACAGTCGATAAATCTCTCACTGATATTGAACTCTTTGAGCAGGGAATGCTGGTGCGGCGAGCTGTTCAGCTATAACATTCACTACCAAAGAACTATAATAATAAAATAAACAAAGAATAATATATAATATTCTAGTATGTAATATTTTTTAATTTCTTTAAATACATTATTAATAAAATAGTAAATAGTTATTAAACCTATTTTATATTTGTTAATAATTATAAAATATAAAAAAAAGGATTCGGGTTCAAAATAAATTCTAAACGAGTTTACAGTTAATTTTGAATCCGAATGAGAGAGAAACTAATAAACAAATTCCATCGGATGGGCTGTTAGCTTTTTTGCCATTGTAAGTTGCATAAAAAACGAGAATAAAAAATGCTATAAACGCTAGTATTTCGTTGTGGTATACATTTTATTTTTATATTTATTTATTTTAACATGACTTCAAATAAAGAAACTTCTTTATTTGCCTCTATTTTTAAATGATTACTTCGCCAATTTTAAATATATAAATAAATCAGAATCAATGTTTTTTAACTAACATTGGGCATGTTACCAACCACCACTATCACCAACTGGACTGAGATACTTTTATCCCAATCGTCAAACCAATCTCATAATGCATTCTGTGTAAGCATTGAATAGCAGTGGTGACTGAATACATCCCTAGTTTCCCTGCCTGTGTTTCAAGTTTTCGAATTGACACAAACTGTTCAAACATTTGCAGTGCCTAGTCATGGACATAAATAAAGCTAGACGCGTTAGATAGATGTATCAATTATGCAAGGTATTTTAGCTAACACTAAATCTCAATGATTGAATTAAAAATTTTAAATGTGACAATTAAGGTGGCAACTCTTTCAGCATAATTCATCATTATCATAATCAATTATCATTTTACTGTTGGGTATGCTCCCTCCCCAATTTCGCGTAGACCATAATTTTTCGGTCTACTATAACTATACTGGCCATCTAATTTTATTTCAAGTTTCTTCCCTGATACAAACCAGTTGATTAAAATACAGTTTAAAACAAATTTTGTTTTCCTAATTGCTTCTCACGGCATCCTAAAAACGTAAAGATTGACACTATTTCGTTTTAATAATATTCTTATTCCGTTACCAAACGGAGTAAGTAACGTTTAAATGGAGTTAACTGATCTTTATTTTTCTTTAATTGCAGAGCACCGGCGGTTGTCGTTCAGCGAGCGGAGCGGGCGCGGGCGCAGTGACGGTCGCGAGCGCGGGCGCAGGCGCGGGCGCGGGCGCGTGCGCAGCGCGCATGGCGAGCGCAGGCGCGCAGTACCGCGGCGGCGCGCCCATCTATTTTAATAATAATTAACAGCGATATCCGTGGCCCGCGGCGTATACGCCGCAGCAATCAGTATTTGTATGGTATTGTAAAATATTTATTATATATAATTTACATTGGACACATGCCGCTTATCCGCCGCCGCCTCAACCCTACGCAGCAGCACCTAGCCCGTATACGCCACACCAGGTAAATATCAATTTTGAAAAGAATTAAGACGTTTTTCTTGTCTAGAATCGCAGTCTTGACTAACCTATAAAATTTTGTGTTTTTTTTTTCAATATTATCAATTTACGTAGATACTTACATACACGTAAAACTTGGTGTTGTAGGCGTCCATAGACGGACCGTATTCGTATATTTAACACCATAACAGTATTAAAAAAGTAATATAATTATGAAATCAACTAAGTATATAATTATGCTAAAATTATGTAACGAAAATCGCTTACCATAGACGTCACGTTGCATAACAATGTGACATTCATTGGTAGGTAGGAAAAGCAGTAAAAAAGTGCATATTAAGGGAGCAGATTTGAAATAATATTTATACTTAACAAGAAATAACTTAAAATTAGATGTATTATTACAAGCTTTTATTTAGCATGCGATATGTAAATAAAAGTATGTAGGTATTTATGTTGATGCAATTATCCTCAATCCTCAACCGACTGGGATAAAATATACACGAAATAAACTTCTTAATTAATGGCCTGGACGTTCTTAGGAATGGTAACCAATACCTCCTGCGCTATCGGTTTTTTGTATTTATTTTATTATTTTTTTTAATAAATTTATTGTATACACATGACGGGAATTTTCGTACCAATGATTTTTTTAGGATGATTATGTAAAGTTGGAAGCAGATTTGTTAGCCCATCGTGTCTATTTTAATAATAATTAACCATGCTGGTTTCGATGTCCGTGGAGGTCGACTTGACAACATCCTTTATGGATACAATTTTTCGTGCATTGCTAATATATGAGAAATGCTGTTATATAGACTAAATGCCCATTACAAATAAGAAATGCCTTATATCCCCCCCATACGTTAAAAGTTTGAATACCCTCACACTAGCAATCAGTATTTGTATTGTATTGTAAAATCTTTATTATATATAATTTACATTGGACACATTACAAGTTTTATTATACAATGGCGGACTTATCACACTTATCTCTTACAGTCAATTTATGAAAAGCTGAAAGAAAACTATTGAATGTTTATTTATTTATTTTAAACTTTATTGTGTAAAATAAATAAACAAGTAAAAAGAAAAATAACACATACAGTAAATATTACTGAAAAGTGATACAAAAGGCGGCCTTATTCCTTATGTTCAAGAGTAAAAACTAAAAAATAATAATGCATAAAAATAAATATTGAGCAATAAATGATCGGTGCCTATGTAATCGCTTGTATTAATCTAATTGAAGAAATATCTAAAAACTCAAAATCAAATTAAAAGTTTTTTATTCTGTAGGCTGCATAATAATATTGTCTATGTCCACGTCTTGCGGCTGAGATGACGATGATGAAGTACAAAATCATAAACACCCAAAAATTTGGGTGTTTAAAATAAACCCAAAACACCCGGTTTTTACCCACCAGACTTTAAACCCACCCAGGTGGATTGCCCATCTCTAAACACGGCACTAAAATGCTAAAAATGAAATGAATTATGCACATATTCCAAATTAAACTGTGATTGCGTTGGTCATCTACGTCTCCTAATGAGATCAGTTTATGAGCTATTTTACGAGAGATGGTGGCATCTCAATTTATTTAAAAACGTAAAATGTTCTTGGCGAATGTTTTGGGAACGGGAATCTGTACCTACTTTCGTGATGATTTCTTTAATATCTATTTATAAATTTGAAAACATATTAAGTGTGTTGTTTGCTGTAATATGTATATAATAACCCACTTATTTTAATATAATCTAAACGAAACAAGAAAATGAATGTTAGAGTAACTTATGTAGAAAATAATAATAAATTATTGAATTAATATTATTATATTTAAACATTGGCTGTGTCAATATTGATTAAACTTTTTAAATTAGTAATTTGTATAGAAATAAGAAAAATGTTTACGTTTTTCTGGATAAGTTTTCCCTTCATAAGAACATTCGGCAATATTCAACGAATATTGAAAAAAATTGTATAACTGGTCCAACCTAACTGTAAGTGTATATAACTGCGTTAATAAATAGGGTATGCAATTCCAGCAGACCGACAGGGTTGTAGCTCAGTTCCTCTAGATAATTAACCGCGAAGTCAGCACGTTGACATAGCTCCATCAATTTTCGTACTTCAACCAACGACGCGACGTTGTTCGTTATGTATTACACACAAACAATATTATGTGATTAATGCTCTCACCCAGCTCTTATATTGTAGGGCTAGATCATGATTTGCATAAAATTATATATACTCACAAGTTTTAGACACGTTGTAGGAACGTCGATGAACTATACACAACAATTAAGTACTTGAAATAGTGATGCATAGAGTTTTTTCAGCTTTAAACAGGTAGTTTAAAGCTGATCCTAAACCGGGTAGGAAGTGTTTACTCGGTGTGCATAATTAATTTGTACTGAACATATTATAATATATTTCAATAGAATGTAATAAAAAATTAAACAAACTAATAATTAACCCAACCATAGAACAATCATATTTAGTATAAATATAAAAAATGCAATAAAATTTGTTAATAATATCATTTGAAAAGTGCTTCAACGACAAATTGGTTACCTTTTCATTTATTTCTATTAAAACAAACTATACCTACATACAATCGACATACCCCAACCCATAGGTATACCAAATTTGTAAAAGAAAGAATAACTAAATGTAAAGATAAAACATTTCAAATATGAAATGCTTTCAGTTTATTAGAATCCACAGTCTACCTTCAAATGTGCATAATTAAACAATTTTCATAAACAGCACTTAGAGATAATAAAAATAAATCGCACAGTCGAAATGAGTTTCATTAACAGACAAAATATGAACATGGAAGTAGCATATCACGTAAATATTAAATACGGACAAACAAGTATGCATCGCATGTTATTTTATTCATACATCTACATCTTTGACAAAAAATAAAACTCATTCTCATTAATAAGTAATTATCATAGATTGCTTTTCCGAAAAGAGTATGGATAATATAGGCGTCGTTTTCTATTAATGACTTTTGTCATCAGTGACCATTTTATAAAAGAACTATTTATTAAAAATAAAAAATCTTATTTTATGAAAACCATACAGCTAAAAATAATAACTCAACTATAATATACATACTTATTTTATTAATTACCAATTATTATATTTCAGCTGTGATAATATTTACAGTATTAATCATAATCATAAATCTTACTTTACTTGCAATTCAAATACATCTAATCTTTAAAAAGCACACTGCCAACTATCTATTTAATTTTTTTACTTTCAGGCTCTCTGACTGAGTGTCTTACAATTATTAAAATTATGTACAACAATTTTAATACTCTAAAATATATCCCTTAAATTGTCCATGTGGCTTTATTCACTAGTTTATTATACCGGATTATCAGAATTTCTATTAGAGCTCGGTTTCGCTCAGCTACAAGGCACCAACCAACACAAACCAGATGTCGCACAAAGATCGTGTTCGCACTGCATCTACGAGTTACAATCTCACCCTCTCTCCACAAGAATCTTCTAAAAGGAATTTCTCGCGCCCTTATCGCTTTTGAAATAAAATGTAGCTCCTTGCGTCGTACGTGTTTTATTACAACGCGTCTCTACAGGATTTATCTCACGGCCGCTCCGATGCTGAACACTTTTTTAGATCGAGCAACATTTGAAAAGAATTCCGCTTATGTGATTGCGCTCGTGTATCTTTCCTTTTCACAAATAAACTATGCAAACGCCCTACACGTATAATATCGTTGGTACAGCGGAAAACTTTAAATATCTATTGACTGATCTTAGGTGACTTTAGTTTTTTTTAAGCAACTTAGACTAGCAAACAAGCTTACGGCCCACCTGATGGGAACGTGGTAACCATCGCCTATAGACATGAACAATACCATGCATATAACAGAGTATACTATTTCGCCCATAATACCCACCATGCGTTGCTATTCCTGAGGACTCAGGTGTTATTCCTCAGTACCTTGTAGAGTCCCACACTCTTCAAACTGAAACACAGCCATGCAAACACAACTGCTTTACGGTAGTAACACGAATAGGACAGAAGTGCCCAAAAAGTTATTTGATATTACCGTACAATTGAAAGCCTTTGATTTCAGGCGTTTTAAAATTGTTATTGTTATAAATAATAAGTACTAAAATTATATAGTTTCCTGCTTCGGAAACCTCTCTTTGTAATAGAATCGAAATCATTTTTAGGGTTCCGTAACTCAAAAAGAAAAAACAATCCATATTATAGGATCACTCGTGTGTCAGTCTATTCATCAGTCTATCACAGCCAATTTACTGCGAAACTACTGGACCGATTGCATTAATTTTTATTTAGTGCCCATATATAAGTCGGTGACTCAAAGATAAACGTGTAATAAATGAAAAATAAATTAATTTTAAACATAAGGTCCACTTTTGCGGGGTAAATTAGAAAACAAAAAAACAATGTTTTGCAAACTATATCGTTTGAAATATCAAATAAAAGGTCTTGTTGTAAGAATCCCAAATATATTTATTTTATAATTAAAGTTAAAGTTACGACTGCATACATACTTCTTTGTATTACCACAAATAAATTCTGTCAAATTTAAAACATATAACTTATTGATTAATTAAATTTGTTTTTTAACATGGTTGAATAGTCATTTTCTTGTAATTTTTACGCTCATTGAAAATGCAATTTCAGCTAAGTCGAATTGACAATAAATGCAACTGTAGCTTTCTTTTTAAACAAAAATTAAAATTTATAAGATAGTAACGGGAATTCCATTTATCTAACTATATATGTACTATAAAATTAACAGCGTCTACTCATTGATCATAGTTCACATATTATGAAACACAAATAATTATCTTTTATCATTATGTTAGTGTATCTTTTATCATTAGGCAACTGAAAAACTGTGGTCTGGATAATAATAACATACAGTATACTTCTTTGACATAGTTTGCACAACACATTCACACATAGTCACGAACATACCCACATTCAT